ATATATATATATATATATATATATATAATCGATTTTATCTAACAGATCGCAGATCTGTATATTTCTCAAACAAAACTCACATTTGATTGAAAAGCAAAATCCATTGTAATACAGTGAAATCAAGCTCGCTAAAAAAATTGTAGAATTGTTAAAGACAAATTGGTGAAACAATATGAAAATTGATTAACAGTAAGTCGGTAAAAATTATTAATAAGACGTGAAATAAAAGAATAATGTATAGTTTCTATGTGTATGTATTAGGTCTAAACTGAAAATTTTGATGGGCAAAATGGAGAGTAGATAAAAAATAAATAGTGTTTTAAGTGGTGGAGAGACCATCATTCTTTGAGATGATATTAGAGATGATATAATTGGAAGTGCGTTGGATATGGTTCGAATTGAAGCAGAGAAGCTTGAAGTAGTAAATGGAGTGTTGATAAGTTGGGGAAGAAGTGGACTTTTAAAAAAAAAAAAAAGTTAGCTTTGGATATGAGTGGTTGGGCAAGAATTAAAATTGAAAAAAAAAAAAGAGAGGAAAAACCAAAAGAAGGGATGGTCCATGTAAATGGAAACAGGGAAGTTATGCACACCTTTCACTTATGGCCAAAGAGAGGTGGAGAAAGAGAAAGAGAAGAGAATCTATACCCAACATATGTTCCTTCCTTTCCTTTCTTCCTTCATTTCATCAATGAATCAATGGCCAAAGACATGGGTCCCACCCAACAAAACAATCCTCTCCACCATAATATCACCACACAACCAACAACAAAAACAACTAAACTAAATCATCCTCTCAAATTATCATTCCATCACCTTCTTCTTCTTCTTCTCACTCTTCCCAATCCCAACAAGCTTTCCACTTCTTCTTTTTTCCATCATCCTCTCTTTCTCTGCTAAACCCCACTTGCTTCTCATATAAGCCTTTACATTTTTCTTAATTAATTTATTACTTACTTCATAATATACCACACTCCATCCACACTCCATTTCTTTCTATTTATTATTGTTATAATATATATGCTTGCCGGCGATGCCGACGCCGGTCAGCATAGCAAGGCAATGCTTGACGGACGAGGCGGCGCGTGCGCTAGATGAGGCGGTGGCCGTGGCGCGGCGCCGCTGCCACGCGCAGACGACGTCGCTCCACGCCGTCTCGGCTCTGCTCGCCATGCCAACCTCCGCCCTGCGCGAGGCCTGCGGCCGCGCGCGCTCGGGCGCTGGCGCCGCCAGGTTCTCCGGCGGGTACTCGCCGCGGCTGCAGTTCCGGGCGCTGGAGCTCTCCGTGGGGGTGTCGCTGGACCGGCTTCCGTCGTCGAAGGGGGGTGGCGGCGGGGGCGGTGAGGAGGAACCGCCGGTGTCGAACTCGCTCATGGCGGCCATCAAGCGGTCGCAGGCGAACCAGCGGCGGCAGCCGGAGAGCTTCCACGCGTTCCAGCAGAGCCAGCACGGGGGAACGGCGTCGTTTCTGAAAGTGGAGCTGAAGCACTTCGTTTTGTCAATCCTCGATGATCCAATCGTGAGTCGGGTTTTTGCGGAAGCAGGGTTTCGAAGCTGTGACATCAAACTCGCGCTGCTTCAACCGCCGCTTCCTCCGGTCCAGCACCGGTTCGCCCGGGCCCCTCCAGTTTTTCTCTGCAACCTCGAACCGGACCGTCCCGACGAAAATATTCGCAGGATCGCGGAGGTGCTGTCTAGAAAGAGCAAGCGAAACCCTTTATTGATGGGTGTTTATGCAAAGAGTGCTCTGAGAGGTTTTGTTGAGATGGTTCAGAAGGGTCGAGGGGGTTCTGTTTTGAGTTCGGAGTTGAGGGTGGTTTGTTTGGAGAGGGAGATTGGGGAATTTGTGAAAAGGGGTGGGAGTGGTGAAGAGGTGGTGGGTGTGAAGTTGAAGGACTTGGAGCAGCAATGCGAGGGCTGTTCTGGTTCTATGGTTGTTAGTTTCGGTGAGGTTGAGGTTTTTGTAGGGGAGGATGCGGATGTTGATGCTGTTAGGTTTGTTGTTTCGGGGCTAACGAGGTTGTCAAAGATTGGTGGCGAAAAGGTTTCTTTGCTGGGTGTGGCGGAAACCTCTCACGCTTATTCGAAGTTCTTGGGTCTGTTTCCTAATGTGGAAAACGAGTGGGATCTTCATTTGCTCACTGTCACTTCTGCCACACCTTCTATGGAAGGGCTCTACTCTAAGTCCAGGTTTGTTCTTTATTTTAAAGAAAAAAAAAGTATGCTGTTTGTTTTTTGGAGTACAATGGCAGAAACTAGGTTTGAACTTTGGACTTCGTGCAAAGTATCCAAAATGGGTTACTGTCTTTTTAGTTCTTTTGCTTGCACTTGTCATGTTTTTGGTTGAAGTGGAATTGGGGATCGTGTTCTTGCACGTTGATTCATGTAAAAAATAATATAAGCATTTCTGAGTATCGTGAAACAATGCACGTTTGTAATTGTGACACGGGGCATATAAATTGTGGGAATGTAAATAAGAGTGTGGCTGGCCTGCGTGTTGTGCTTTGTGAACTGAATTTATGTTTATTTCTATTTTTGTGATTTTGGTTGTTCTGGGATTTGTGCTGTCTTCCTTGTTCCTCTTTTCTCTATTCACATTATAAGGAGTTGAATTTTTTGAAACATGTTGTGCATTCACCTATGGTTTACCTCATGGAACTCTAAACATGTATTTTCGGATCCAAATGGATGATAGAAAGTTGAGTATGTATTGTGGTGAATGTATTGGGCACAGTGTATTTCATTTCTGTAGATATATGATGCCTTGAAATCTCTTTGATTGCACACACTTTAGCTTCTGACTGTTTTGTGCCTATTGGATCTCACAGTTCCCTGCTCATGATAAACTTACAGCTTGATGGGGTCCTTTGTTCCATTTGGTGGGTTCTTTTCTACACCTGAAATCAGAAGTCCCCTGAACTCCACAAATGGATCTTTTACCCGTTGTGACAAATGCAATGAAAAATGTGAACAAGAAGTTGCTGATGTTCTGAAGGTAGGTCCTTCGTCTAGTAACTCAACAAGCTCACCCTGGTTACAAAAGATTGTTAATGTGGACAACCATAGAGGGTTGGATGTGGCAAAGGTTTGTATGATTGCTAATTATTGCATTTCTCTTCTCCAATGCATACTGAGGGGTCACATGCATATACAACGTACACGCAACATGGTGGGGCAATTGCTGTACTACTTATACGTAGTATAATAATTTAGAGGTATCCAGTATAATGCCAAACTGCTTATGCAGGAGTAAGGAAAATTTTATTTGAATACCAAAAAAAGGTAAAGAATGAGGATTTATATGCAACAAAAGAAATTAAAAACAATGTTTCTCTGTTTGTTTTCTCCCTCTTAGCTTACTTTTGCAGAGTCCATTGCTTTTGATTATGAAATGGAAAAGTGTATTAGTCATATCCCTTGTCATTTGTTATATAATTCATAACATTTCCAAAAGTTATATTAGGAAATTTTATTACTGTCAATTATATTAGTTACATCATGAGGAGTTGTAGGTTTTCTTTTCTTGTGTTTATATACCCTACCTTGATTAAAATTATTGGATCCAGTTTCTGTAAATAATAATGATTTGCATCACTTGCAATATTTCATTGCTTGAAGTTATGGTTGCATATATTTAAGAATGGGCTCCATTATCCAGTGCAGACCAGTGGAGAAAATACAAGTTTGAATGATAAGATGTTGGGATTTCAAAACAAATGGAATGATATTTGTCAGCGTCTTCATCACAAAGGCTCACTGCCTCACTTTGATATTTCTCAGACAAGGCCACAAGCTCCAATACTTGAGACTTTACGGTTTGGTCCAGGTTTTAAGGAAAGCAGCAGTAAAGATCCATCACGCACTGAATTCCCATATTCTACTACTCAAATGTCTTACATGCCCAAAGGGTTGCATATTACTTTTCCATTACCTTCTGATACAGTCAGTGTTCATACTGTAACTGGTAGTGATTCAAAAGTCTCAGAGACACTGCAAATTGATGCCAAGACCCCTAGGGTTGTCCCTTCGAGTGTGCTTGACCACAGATCATCTTTATCCCATACACCTGTGACCACAGATTTAGGATTGGGAACGTTATATACATCAACATCTCAGAATCCAGATACCCCAAAACTACAAGATCAGAGAAAGCATGTTCAGCAATTGTCAGACTCTATTTCAACTGATTGTGATGCTATTAATGAAACTACCTCACACCAAATTCCTAGATCTTCTTGGTCTGGTTCAAATTTTGATGGGAAATTTGATTTAGCAGATTTCAAGTCTCTTAATCGAGTTCTTGCTGAATCGGTTGGCTGGCAGGATGAAGCCATCCGTGCTATCAGTCAAACTTTGTCCCTTGGTAAATTTGGTTCAGGAAAGAGTAGAGGTTCACAAGGTAGAGCAGACACATGGTTGGCTTTCCTTGGACCAGATAGACTTGGCAAACGAAAAATTGCTTCAGTTCTTGCAGAGACTATTTTTGGAAACTCTGAAAGCCTAATCTCTGTGGATCTGGGCTTCCAGGATAGCTTTTCCCCATTGAACTCTGTTTTTGAATGCCAAAAATCACGTTGTTATGATGTGCTCAGGAGGAAGACAATTGTGGACTATATTGCTGGAGAGTTGAGTAAAAAACCCCATTCCGTTGTCTTTCTTGAAAACGTAGATAAAGCTGATTTTCTGGTGCAGACTAGTTTGTTGCAGGCAGTAAGAGCTGGCAAATTTCCAGATTCTCATGGAAGGGCAATTAGCATCAATAACACAATCTTTCTTGTAGCCTCAACTAAAGATAGTAGTTCTTTGGTTTCAGATGAGTCTAAGATGTTTTCAGAGGAAAGAATCCTTGAAGCCAAAAGATGTCAAATGCAATTACTACTAGGACATGCTTCCGAGGATGCCAAAACAATTGGTAGAACAAATGTCAAGGTTGTAGCAAGTAAAGGTTTTTCCAAATCATCATATCTGAACAAAAGAAAGCAGACTGATACTAGTGACTCCAAGAAGGGAACAGCAAGCAAGATGCAGAGACAGGACAGTGAGTCATCTCGATCCTATCTGGATCTAAACATGCCTGTAGAGGAGAGTGATGAGGGTGTGAATGACAATGACCAAGAAAGTGAATCCATAACAGAAAACACAGACACCTGGTTAAGTGACTTCTTTGATCAAATTGATGAGAAAGTGGTGTTTAAGCCATTCAACTTTGATGAGCTTGCTGAGCAAGTATTGAAAAACATTGGCCTACTATTTCAAAGGACATTCGGATCAGAGCTTCGGTTGGAAATTGATTATGAGGTAATGACACACATACTTGCAGCTGCTTGGTTATCAGACAAAAAAAATGCAGTGGAGAATTGGGTTGAACATGTTCTTGGCAGATGCTTTGTGGAAGCACAGAAGAAATACCATCATCCTGTGTCTCAATATGTTGTGAGACTGGTTAACTGTGAATCCAATTTTGTGGAAGAGCAAGCTCCTGGTGTATGCCTTCCAGCTAGAATTAACCTGGACTAAATTTTTGCTCACTTTGTATTACTGTAATCAGTTGTAAAATGTAGCTGTTAGGATATATAGTATTTGGTAGATGGTAGCCAGCGTTCAACTAATTGATCTCACAATTTTTGTCTTCTCAATCATTGTGCTGTAATTTCTATGGTAAATGTATGTGTAATTTTCTATAGTGTACCTACTTAAAGTCCAATAATATTAGTTTGCAAATTGTTCCACCCTTCACTTTTTAATGATTTGGATAGGATCTCATTAAGTTTGGCATAAATTTGATCCGACCAGAAGAATGGAAACCTCAAATCCAAGTTGGAATGTTATGACTTTTCTGCGCTATTCTTTATTCTTGATGGGATTTCTTCCACTGGATATAATTCCAATTGTTCTCATGCTATCAGAATATTCATTATCTTTGTTCTGTGCATCAGCTCTTACCATGTAAAGAGTGTCATACCCTTCATAAAGGAAACTCCTCACACTTGAAATCATGGTCTATGAAAATCATAAATCCGAAATGATTAAAATCTATCTGTTTGATATAAAATATTATATTTTGAAAGTCAAAGACAAACAACTTAATCAAAGTAGTGTTTTATTTTAACTTAGAAACATTATGTTAGCTTCTAAATGTCAAAAAAGAAAACAAATAAAACTTTTTTTTCTTGTACTGAATGTTCTTTTAATGAGCTTCTGGCCCATTGGGCATTTTCTTATAATTGTCTATACTATTAGTGGGTATTGTTCTCTCCACCACCATCCCTTACTCTCTCCACCTCCCCAACCCTTTACAAAAAAATTTTAATTACAAAAGTAGTCTTTTTTTACTTTTAACCCTATTTATTTACTTTTCTGAAATCCTAAATTCCTATCCATTTTCACTCACTTATTTTCATTGTGCAACCCCACCCCCTCTTCCAAATCACACTTTCTCTCTTTCTAGATTCCCACCCCTCCAACTCTCACCAGATCTGTTTTTCTCATCTCCTAACTCTTACTTTTCTTACCATATCCATTCGTTTCCTGTCTCCATGTCCGTTTGTTTCATGTCTCTATGAATTTGAATCTTTCTGTGTGGATATGGCAGATCATAAATGGCGTCTACAGCGACTGGAGCGAAGGAATGGTACCGAGGAAAGGAGAAGGCGGTTCCGTCGGGGGATTGCGTGGTCATCATGACCATGCCATCCGACAAGCCTGGTCCTTTGCCCGAAAAGTCCATCATGTTGTCATCTCTATTGGCTCCAAGACTTGTAATTTTAATAGATTCATGGATATCTTGTTCTAATTGTGAATTACAATACTTTTTTCCAAATTTTGTTGTAATCAATTTTGAGGTTATTGTGTTTTATGTGTTCTAGTTTCGAAATTGAAATTTTTTTTTTCTTCTGTGCAACTCATGAGGTGTTTACAACCAACTGATTAAAGATATTTGTTTTAAAAAATTGTTAGGCACGTAGAGGTGGTGTTGATGAGACGTTTGCTTGGGAAAGTAGAGAGTTTCTATGGAAGCTCTGCATAGGGAAGGTAGGTTAACTGAAGTTTCTTGCGCTGGATCAATTCCTTACACCACCACCTACAACCTCCCACTAAGCACACTACCTAATGAAACTCCACCACACTCTCACACCACAATGAAACAATGAGAGGAGAAAGTCCAACATTAAAGAGCAAAAAGAGTTTGTGTCCTTGTCGGCTGCATGCATTCATGTAGGTAATTGGAATGGATAGAAGTTAAAAAATATTAATCCTAAAAATAAAATTGTATTGAAGGGTAAAACAGGAATAGGAAAGTGAAAAGAGGAGTAAAACAAGAATGGAAAGGTGGAGGGAGAAGGGGGTGGTGGTGGAGGGAGCAACACCCATGATTAGTTGCTTAGTTTAAAACATTTTAAAAATGTTTTTATGTCATTTATAACTTGTTTATGGTGTACTTTTTTCAACATATTCCACATTTTTTTTCTCACTACAATTTTCTACGTTAACCAACTCATTTATTTTTCCTCCAATCAAGAAATTCATGAAAATTTTTGAAATGGATCCAGAATGTGTCACTCTTGAAATGTATACTGCTTTTAACTGTTCCGTAACATTAAATCTCCATCGATTTGTTAGATAAATGTTAAGTCAAAAGCTTTAAGACAACATTAAATTTGTATTGTTTTGGGTCAATTTTAAAAATTGGAATCCCTTAACCATTGTAGGATTATTGTGTAGTACACATCATTACAGGCTTACTGTATCATTGTGTATATATAAATCACAAAACTTTCTTCACTAAAACAACCATGATTGTAGTAAAACATTCAAATAAATATTGTGTTTATCTTCATCAAAATAATGATGTGATCATTAAGAAAACAAATTACATTAGTAAGAAAATTACTGATTCACCCTTTTTTTCTTTATAAATGGAAATTTTCTTAATATCTCTTATATTATGTTGTAAAGAAGAACAAATGTTTGAAATATGAAAATTACTTTTATAAATAATTATTCATTTACTCTGTGATTAAATGCGTTATTTGAACTATTAAAACAATATGCAACTATGTTGAGAATCATGAATGGTTGAGGATCAAGAATCAATGTGATTGTATGTTATGGGTGATGGGTTGAACTATACGAGAAATGTGATGGAAATATTAGAGGATTATGTTATAAAAATTGAAAATAAAGGGTAAACTTTCGGGAAAGGAATTAATTGTGATAAATGATAAATTATTTATATAAATTGTTATATGTGTATGATTATATTCTTCATAAGGCTGAAGAGTATAGTTTGATAAGAATAATGTGATGTAATTGTTAGAGATGCTCTTATAAGTTATCTTTAAACTCTATTAAACTCTCAATACTCATATATATATATATATATATATATATATATATATATATATATATATATA